AGTGGAAATGAAAACATTGATGATTTCATCAAAGTTACACAATTTACAAGAGAAAGTGTGAATAGTGAATTTCTAGAATGGGTTCCATATGAAAATTTAACAAATATAGAATTTATTGGGAAGGGTGGTTTTAGTGAAATTTATAAAGCAACTTGTGAAAGACAAATGTATATAGGTTGTAGAGGAATTATCACAAGAAAAAAAACCGAAGTTGCTTTAAAAGTTTTAAATGATTCTCGGAATGAGGATACCGAATTTTTTAAAGAGGTAATAACTATTTTAATTAAAATTTATTGAAAATTTTTTATCTATATTTATTATATTTTTATTTTATAATATAGTTAAAATATACATATCAGGTGAAGGGATTTAGTATAATCCAATGTTATGGAGTAACCCAAATTCCAAAGACTAAAAATTATGCATTTATTTTAGAATACGCTATAAATGGAGACTTACATCATTTTTTAAATAAAACTTTGCAGAGATAACATGGGAAAGAAAAATTAGCTTTTTATGGGACATAATTGGAGGAATTAAAAGAATTCATAAAAATAAAATTTTACATCGAGATTTACATAGTGGCAATATTCTTATTAATGATATAGAAGATGCTATTATTTCAGATTTAGGATTTAGTCAACTAGCAAATATTGATTCAAGAGAATCTCAAATATATGGAGTAATTCCATATATGGCTCCAGAATTATTTAAAGGTCAATCTTACTCATATGCATCAGATATTTATAGTTTAGGAATGATTATGTGGGAATTGACATCAGGACATAGACCATTTCATGATCGAGAAAATGGTCCAAAACTTATATTAGATATTTTAGATGGAAAAAGACCAGAAATTACTGAAGATACGCCAGAATTTTTGGCAAATTTAATGAAAAGATGTTGGCATTCTGATCCTTCTCAACGACTAACAATTAAAGAAATCTTTAAATTATCAAATAAAATTTATAAATGTAATTTTTATTCTGAAGATGATATTAATATACATTATTCGGATCAATATGATATTTGGTTAGAACTTAATAAAGCAGAAAAAAAACGACTTAAGATGGTTGAATCCAATAAACCATTTGTAAAAAATCCAGGATATGAACATCCTAATTCTAGATATTATAGTATATCATTGAATTCCATGTTAAAATCTATTAATTCAACAGTATCAGGTAATTAATAATTTTATAATTTTTTTAAATGATATAGTCCATTATATTTATATTAATAAT